CTTCTGGTTAAAATTGGAGTTGGCGAGCATAAAACGCTTTCTTGTAAAAACAGCTTAAACCAGTTACAGTGGTGTTGGTTAGTAAAATTAATACTTTCCATGTCGAGGTCGTTTCGTTTTTAGCAAGGAGAGGTCGCGGCCGTGGTCGTGGCCGTGGTAGAGGTAATCCAATACTTGTATCTAGTTCTTCACTAACATCAAATGAAGCAGCTTCTGTCGGCGGTATGTAAATGAAGTTATTTTTAAAGCGATGTTTTCTTGGTCTTTTATCAATTTTTTGCTCAGCTATCGAATCAAATTTCTGAAAGTTTTTGGTAGATACTCTTTCAGGAGACAGCATGTTTTCGGTATCACAGCAGCTTTCGTCTATGAAAGTCTCAGGTAGTAGCGGTGCTTCTTCAGCTAGTGGTTTTTCAGAAGGATCTGGGATGTCAGGAGTTTCTGCAGCAAAAGTGTGTCCTACATTTTAATGAATGTTATTCCTTGCTTTTGAAATAACCGTTTGTTTTTTCAGGCTGAAATCATAAAACCGCTTAAGCCCTTACCATTCGGTACTCTTGGGAAACGTATTAAGCTACGAACTAATTACTTTAAGCTTGCGTTGAAGTCTAACCCCACCGTGCACCGGTACGAAGTTGAAATAAGCAGACTAGGAAGCAATTTCAGAATAAATAGGTGAGGAGTCCTGAATATCAGATAGAAAGGGGTTTAACAGGGGTTACATAAGAGTGTCCTTGCTGACTTATTTTGGTTTCATTTCAGAATGTTCAAATTGCGATTAGTTAATTTTTCAGAGATAATATGAGGATGATTTTTTGGCAGGCTGTAGAGGAGAATAGAAATTTCTTTGGGAATACGTACGCGTTAGTTTATGACGATAGCAGATGCTTTTTTACTACCGAACAATTGGAGTTGCACAACGGGGAGATAAATCTTTCCGTCACTGTCGGCCAAAGAGTTAGAATTATTTTCTGTCAGCTGGGATGTGTACTTTCGTCTTTAATTGCATGTTTTAAAAATCATTATCCTTTGTAAAGGAGTGGACATCAATTACTCTTGCGTTTTTTACTTCTTTTCAGTTTTCAACGTATCTCTTATTGTGGTCTTTACTTTTCATAAATTACAGCCCATCCAATTAGTGGTAAGAATAAGATATACCGCCTCGTTCACTTTGGATATAAGCGGCAGAAATTTCTTGCCAAATGGTGTTTTGCAGTTTCTTGATGGGCTCCTGACGCAAAATGTTAGGGTTGTCAATGAGTAAGTTTTGATGTTTGTGCAGAATATGCTTTGTGCGATTTTTCTTCGATTCTTTAAAGCCGAGTCTTGTAGTAGAGAACCGCCTACCTTCTATCCTTATGGCCAATGTATATATTTAATTGCAACTGACGCAGCTCGAGATAGACGATTCAAGCAAACAATTGGACCAGGATTAGAAGCTTGGAATGGTCTTTATGGTGCAGTGAAGATTGGTAGCAGCAACAAACTGCTGTATAATTGTGATGGTCAGTTACACTGTCTCTTTGAAATAAGATTTGAATCGGAATAGGCCTACTCATCATTGTTTCAGTGACAACAGCGTTATTCGCTAGACAGCGGTTCAACCTGATAAATATTTATGTGGAAATACTTCATGCACGGAGACCGAATGACAGATTCTTGAGGGAAATGAATGATGAAAACCTCGCTAGAAACTTGTCAATTGACGGCTGGAACAGACAACAGTTAAGTGATTGTCTTACAGGTCTGCTTTTTTTTGAAGCTGATATTTATAACCTAAAAAAAATTATTTTAAGTGGCTGCGTCGAAAAGGCTAATATTAGCTTACATAGTTCAAGTATTCCGTGAAAGTTTTAAATTTTCTGGTAGCAGGTGCTTCTAGTCTAGAAATTTTGGAAATGAATAGCCTTGTAGTTTTGCGCTTCGTTTTCGAGTTTCTCAATGAGACTGTGATGTTAGACATTAAGGGTTAACAAATTTTTTAAACTTGTTTTCTAAAATAAGCTTTCTTTTATGTGTTTTGGCGAATATTGGTTGGAGCGGTGTTAATTCAAAATTCTATTATATTGGTGTTTTCCAGTATTGGTGTGGATGAGCTTTTGATGAAATTTTAGGTCTTCAGTTGTGTGTCACTTATGGGGACGACAGGGCTACGGCAAGACACTACAGATTTGTTGCCGTTGGGAAACCCGCTACGACAGTAAGGTGAATGCTTAGAACTTCACTTATTTTCTTTTTATCACGAAGGTTTGTACCAAATATGAATGTCGCAGCAGCTAGAAAGCCGAAAATCAAGTGGTTAAGAATTTTGCAGATTCGATTATGTTAGTACAGACGAGGTCACTAATAGAGAAGTAAGGGTAGTGATGACTGTCGAAGAGTATTTTCGCAGGATTAAAGGTTGTGACGGAAGATTCTTTAAAATATCTTGCTTTTAACTGTAACGTCATTTTATTTAGATTATGCGTATTTTTTAGGTATTAATCTGTTTTATCCAAATCTCCCTGTAATTCACGTGGGCTCCAGTGCAAGAAAAATACATATACCAATGGAGCTTTTGGCAACTTCAGTGACTCCGCAGAAAATAAGAAGAAATTTATCCGAATTTGAAAGGTCTCAGTTGGTCAGAGTGAGTGTCCGTTAAACCTTTATGTTCACTTTCAAAAAAAATTCTTTAAAAAATTTTTTTTAGTTTTCTTGTTATTCTCCAAGGGAACGTGTTGAACGTACAAGAGAGTTGATGGATCGGCAGAATATAGAAGAATCCGATTTCTTAAGACAATACGGAATTACAATAGATTTGGAGTTTCTCAAAGTAAATGGTCGTGTTCTTAAGCCTCCCGACATAGCAACAGAGGTAAGAAACTGGTAGGAATTAGCTGTGGCACTTGCGAAAGAAGTTTTTATATTAAGATTTGGAAATTTTATTTTATTAATGACGATCTGGCAAGCCGAATGCTGTAAGCAGTTTTGGTGCTATTCTTTTGTTGTCTTTTCTTTCCAGAGAGAAGACCATGACAGGTATAAAGTGGTATCAGTAGTCGATGGTTCCTGGAAGCTCGAAAAATTCACAGAATGTCACCGTGCTATGGTTTTTTGCGTCGTAAGCGTTGACGGCTGCTTTCAGCGGAAAGAAAATGTCAGGTAGGTATCTTTTTCGCAAAAATGAACCAAGAACTCACTTACTGTAATTAGGTGTTTTGCCTAGGTGGGTTTTATTTTATTTCAATTAATGTGTAGTCTCACCGCTGTTTCTTACCGTGCTCCTGATTTCAAGTCAGACGCTTTCCGTGCTTATGCAAGCGTGTAAGGATTATGGTATGAGACTCGCCACAGATGAGTTCCTTTTTGAGAGGTGGTCTGCTGGAACTGCTGAAAGTGGAACCTCTAAAGGAATTGAAAACTTGTCTGATCTTTTACAGTATTTCAAACGAGAAACGGACAAATGGTTTCCTAACGCTGGTCTTATTGTCTTGTTTTTAATGAAGCAGAAGAACCAGGATAATTACAGTTATGTTTTTCAAGAATCTTGAATTTGGGACTTTATATCTACTTTGCAGTTGTAATTTTGAGTTTTGGTGTAAATTTTCATACGTATTGATGTATGGGAAAAGGGTTAGCATCAGTTCAGTTTAAATAGCCAGATATTTTTCTTTTTCACTGTCATTGTTTGGATATATTTCAGGTATAGTTAAGAAGGTTTGTGATTTGGATAAGGGAGTTGCTTCGCAGTGTTTAACTGCTGACACATTCCGGAAGATGGGGGCTGGTCGATCTGGGACTCGTGCTGTTGCGCACAATATATGTTTGAAAATCAATGTTAAAATGGGTGGTGTAAACAGCAGAGTGTATCCATCTAGTCCGAGGTAGTTTTTTTGCTAATTTGTTTGTTTTTAAATGGAAGGAAAGTGCAGTTATGTTAAAAAACTTTTGTTATAAGTTAACTTATGGAGCGACTTAGTCTTTTCTTTGTATTAATTCTTTGTTCCTGTGAACATTTCCTCAGGTGGGCGAAATTTTTCGATCGAGACAGTCCGACTTTACATGTTGGGATTGATGTTACTCATCCAGTTCAGGGACGTGGAGGTAACTCGATAGCTACTGTGGTTGCGAATGTCGATATTGAGGGATCAAGGTATAAGATTTACGATCTGTTTACGCTTTGTTTTTTTAAAATTTTTGATTCAGATACGAGGTCTCTGTAAAAGTTCAACTACCTGATCAAGAACGTTTGGTTTATATGGCTGACGCATTACGGGAGCGGATTCTTGCATTTAACGAAGTTAATAAAAGGCCGCCTGAACATATTGTTTTTTACAGGTTTTACATGGCGCATTAGTAGATATCTGTGGGTTCGTCGTCTTATATTTAGGTGGTAATTTGAGCATTTGCAGAGATGGAATTTCGGAAAGTGAGTTCCAAGGGACAATGGGCGAGGAATTACACTCAGCAAAGGCCGCATGTTTCAAACTTGGTGAAGAATACCGACCGACAATGTCGTACATTGTCATTCAAAAGAGGCATCACACCCGCTTCTTCGTCAACGACGAAAGTGATGGAATGTAAAATGAATCTTTACTATTTTTGTTAATATTGTGCAGAAAAATTTGTTGACATATTATTTTTAACACGAGAAAATGCGTATATTTCCAGTGGGAAAATGCGCAATATCCCCCCAGGTACAGTTGTTGAAGAAGAAGTTACTTCTCAGGACTATTCAGATTTCTTTCTAGCGTCTCACGTTG